ACTGGTAACACAGTAGCTTAGCAGTCAGACCTGCAGTAGTCCCCACCTCCCCTGCGCCCCCTCCCCCCCGGTGCCCCAAAACAGACACAGTTGCACAAGCACCCATGTCACAAGTTTTGCCTGTCAGCAGCCAGAGGTACAGGGCCCCAGAACCCAGAAGCCCTGCACTGATCTCCTTTACAGCTGGCAGACTTTGTGGCCTCATTAGGGGCCACCACCCTTGCAATTTTCAGTCCACTGTGCCTTAACAAATACTGAGTCATCTATGTCATGAGTTTTGCCTGTCAGCAGCCTGAGGTGCAGTTTCCCCCAAACCCCTGCATCTAACTTCTTGAAACTTGGCAGACATTGTGGCCTCACCAGGGGCTACCACCCCTGCAGTTTTCACCCCCATATGGTTTAATACATACACCTGACATGCGTTTTGCTTTCAAGAATTTGGGGTGCAGCTCCCCCCGAACCCCTCTGCTGATCTTTTTGAAACTTAGCAGACTTTATGCTCTTAGCATCAGCTACCACTACTGCAATTTTCATCCAAATCAGACAAATAACAACAAAGTTATAGATATTTCATTGATTCCCCATTATACCCTATGGCCGGATCTCCAAGGCGGCTCCGAAGCTTCAGAGCTGCTTCGGACAGATTGAAGCGGGAAACCAATCCGGAGCTCTGGATCAGATCCATGGCATCCAAAGTGGCTGGATACAATGCTGGATCAAATAGCTGCCTACTCGCACAGGCCTACTGACTAGTATCTATCCTGAACAATGTTTGTGAAAAATTGCTGTACAGCTTGTTGGAAAGAAAAGAAACAGTAAGGAAAATGGTATTATAGCCATTCCTGTGAAGTTCCTAATAGTAAGCTTTTGCAGGCATGAAGGTGTGTATTGCTTTAGTACAAAGCTACATCCTGGATCCAGTATAAGTCAGAGGACAGAAAAAAATCAGTCTAAATTTGTATCCAAAAATCCTTCAGGGTTTTCCTTGAAATGTCTGGTACCACTTCTAGATTGTTTCTTTTGAAGGAGAAGGCTGACAGCTTCAAAGAATTCTGGTCTCTTTAAATCCCAAGTCTGAAGTTGACTTTCTCCATGAACATTCATTTTGAAAGCACTGACCTCTTTATTGTCCAGTCTATGGGTGCAATAATTTAGATTCCAGACAAGACACAAGTTGGCCACTAACACTATGCCTCAAGTTCATGTAACAAGCTCTGAACTAGCAGGAGATCACGTGTGTTCAAGGCTTTAATTCATGCAGTCACTGGAAAGTTTGCAATCAAGTCTTGATTCTTTGGCATTTGCAAATCCTCTAGGTATACCTTCTGCTATATGGAAGCTTTATTTCTAAAATTTAATGTTTCAGTGGTGCATCCCACTTTCTCTCTTCCTGCCCCCCCCCATCTGTCTGCAAATTAAGAAGGTCTAGCTCAGCACCAACTGAAATTTTAACTGACTTAAATGGCTGCTTTATTTGCCATGTAAGGACAGGCTCCAATATCTCATTAAGCCACTGGATATGATTCTATTCAGGTTAGGTTAGTGGAGTTTTTATCTGCCATTATTATTCTTTAATGCTTATCTGCACATTTATTGTTCCTTCAATACATTTGCATATGCAGTTTTTACAAGAATAATTGAAAATGCTATGGAAGCCCCATTTTGGTGAATTGGACCTGCTAACATCTCCCCCTCAAAGAGTCAAATACTCATTATTGTGGATGATTCTGGAAGACACTATGATTTCTCTTAACCTGTTTCTCTGGTAATAATAGAGCCAGGATACCTTTGAACATTTCTGATTTTTGACGAACAAAAGAGTTCAGACCCTATGCAAACTGAATAGAACTGAGAGCCACCAAGCTATTCTCAAATATGATTCCCTCAGAATTGAAGGGAAATTGGTGAAGTTGATAAGTTGTGATGCATGCCTGAACAGACAACAGTGCTCATTCATCTCCCTGTCAAGAAGCAATTCATCTGCTCCCCATCTGGCAAGTATGAATGGGAAAGACACACCTTAATTGATGACCTTAGTAAAAAAGATGGATGTTCATGAGAGATCACTAAAAGCCTCATTGGCTTGTCTGTCTGCCAGTTGTCAAGTGAGATCATCCAAGCACAAGACTTTTTGCTAGAAGTCAGAATAACAAATGTCTGATTTTTTCTTTTGTTCAGATGGGGTCCATAATCTTGCAGTAGTCTTGAAGGACTTCTGCAGACAGCAAAGAATTCAAAAGGAGTCAATATGCTACTTGACAGTAATTGTTGCTACAGCAACCCTTTGATTAATACTGAGGTGTAATCAGGAAACTTGTAGCAAAGTTGTATCTATCCCTAAATGTATTATGCCATAATTTCATGCTGTAGAGATATTTGTTTAGGAGATTCAGAAGACCACGGGCTTGAATTTTTCACAATTGTTGATCACTACCAATAATTTTGAATACTTCAGTTGAAATTGGGGTTTCCTAGTACATGTAAAGAAAAACCTGGCCTGGGTATCTGAACAGTTACTGTCATTAAAAAAGTGAAAATGTATCTGTCAATTTATAATACCAAAATCTTTATTGTAAAAGTAATAATGGTCTAGTCTGTTCATTTGCTAGGAACTATAAGGTGTCAGTTATTTTATTCTTATTCTTCTGGTTAGCTTATAAATTATTGTGTGGTCTGTGTATGATGCTATATGGGATGCAAACATATGTTTTTCTATGCTGTAAATTGATATTACAGCTAAGTTAAGATTGCTGGAGTCTATTATAATTGCAACCCCATGCTCACATATTTTTATTTGATTAAGTTGTAAGTTTAACTTTGGGCTTCTAATCTATGGTTTTAAACAAATAAATTAAGGTATTTCCCTTTTAAATGAAACTTGAAAACATCAACTCAAACACAGAAGACTTGTATCTTCCCCCAACACTTCAGTGGAAAACATACCAACTTGAAAAGCAGCATTATTTCACATTACTAGATGGAGGGTTTTGGTCTTTTGGGGGGGTTTTCCAATAATTTATGTAAAATAAAAATGCAACCTTTTTAAAAGGGGTGACCACCAGCATCTGGGGGAACGTTTGTTCACCAGAGCGCCCCAAGGGATGACGAGGTCGAATGGTCACAAACTACTTCAAGATCGTTTCAGGCTGGACATAAGGAAGAATTTCTTTACTGTCCGAGCCCCCAAGGTCTGGAACAGCCTGCCACCGGAGGTGGTTCAAGCGCCTTCATTGAACACCTTCAAGATGAAACTGGATGCTTATCTTGCTGGGATCCTATGAACCCAGCTGACTTCCTGCCCTTTGGGCGGGGGGCTGGACTCGATGATCTTCCGAGGTCCCTTCCAGCCCTGATGTCTATGAAATAAAAGACTGTAAATGGAAACAGATCGGGCAAAGGAGTTAAATCAGATGTGTTGAGTAACAGAATTCTCCTGGATCATGACAGAATATCTATGTACAGAATAGATAAGTAAGCATATTTGATGTTTCCATATGCAAAATTAGTAATTTTCATAACTGAATTAAGTTAGTGATGACTTTTCCCCCTTCTTCACTTGATATGGGAAGGATATTGAAATACATGGTTCTGTTTGGTGCTCCATTTGTTTTACAAAAATCTGATACAATTCCTGTCTTGTTGGTAAAGTTTTCATTTAATTAAAAATTATTTATATGCAACTTGGATTGTTCTTCAAGAGTCAAAATGTCACTAAATACTTGTGAAACAAGACACATAGTTCTCTGTTTATGTTTTAGATGTTTCTTATGCATTACAAATGATTAAGAGCTATATAGGTCAGCTAGGTGAAGGTCTTAACAGGTACTGATTTGCACCCAAAGGCAATGTATTTATCTGTATGTACTGATACCTATTTGATTTTTTGTGATTCATTTTTATAACATTGCCTGTTAATATCCTACCTGAGATGAAGTTTCAGGCAAGAAACTTCAAAATGCAGTCTTTTGTACAGACATACTTAAGGAATCACAGATGTTCACTTTGCCACATAGCACAACTTGAATAAGAACTGCTAAAAATACACAAACTGTCAGCTGTTGAACTATGAGTAAACTAGGTGTGTATTTTTTAGTTATAGTGTAAAGAAGTGTTATAGCACACCCACAAAATTTTAAAAGGTCACATTAAAAATACACTTACTGTGTCCAATTTTATGAGAAGCCTTACTAGCCTAGGCAAAATTGCTTCCATATATTTAATGCTCTTGGTGTCTATTTTGAAAATATGGTGATTTTTGGGGGGTTTTGGTTTTGGTTTTTTTGCTAATTTATGTCATGCCTAATCAAAGTATTTGCATAAAATACTTTCCCCTTAATATTAACATTTTTAAAAGAACTCATGCTCTATGCTTCCCACTTTAAGATCACAAAGCTAGAAGTAATATCTTATTACCTAAGCTTGCTTAGTCTCTCATTATAACTAACTACCTGTGAAAGTAATGTTATTTGAAATAAACCTTATAAAAGCCAAAGTAAAGTTGCTCCCTTTCCATTAGGTTCAACGTTAGTGATAAAAGTGGCAGTGAGGATACTATCGTAATAGTGGCAAGAACACAATTTGTACAGTTCAATGTTTCCCATGTGTCAAAGTTGCACTTATTAAGAAAGTCAGAATGAGGACAGTATTTTGTGATGGATCAGTTTGTACCACGAGTGTGCATAAGAATTCAGGGCAAGATAACAACATGCTCTTCAATGCTGTCGTAAATGGTAGAAAAAAAACTTGATAAACTATGACAGTCTTATTCATTAAGGAAGTAGGTCTGAAACAACGAGATGTTAAAAATAAAATAGATCAACATTTCATGGTAAGGTTTATATTATTTTGAATGTAAACTTCTTTTTGCTTTTGTTAGCAATGTCTGTATTTTAATATTTCAAGTTTAAGAAATGCAGTAAAGACCTCATTAGAAACAAAGACTATACTGGGGAGTAACTTTAAAAGGAGTATATCTTTCACAGTGCTGACAACTCTCCTACCTCTCAGTGGATTTATCTGTGTTTTCCTCTGTGATCATCTGCAAATCCTGTGTGTTTTTCCTTGAAACCTCCTTGATAAAATTTTCTTCTGTGTTTGCTTTGTGGATATCCTCATTAGTCTGTAGTTGTTCTAATAGGTTTTGCTGATGCCAGGTTTGAATAGATCGGTGGTGTACAGGGGTTGGACCTGGTACCGGTGTCAGTATATTGTGGTGAACAGGACTGTTGTTTTTCTTCAGCCCATTTCTCTCCCGAGAGTGACTCTTCAACCTGTTCTGAACCGGTGTTCCTCTATGTTCATATCCTTCCTGCTGCAGGCAGCCTCCGGTGCCTGTGGAGCCTTGTGAGGGGTGAGTGAACCACCTCCAGCGTAGCCTTAGGATCTGTTTCACATCAAACTCCTTCTTTCCAGAAACTGACATTGTTGCAGGAAAAAAAGACAAAGGGATATCCTTTAGAAAGGAAATGTATTCTTTGTTATCTCCTTGTCTTCCTCTGCCTCTTCTTAAGAAAAGACAACAAAAGAAGAAATACCAGTAGCCCTTTTTTTCCCCCTGATTAATACACAGCAAGCCCTTCAAGCTGCTGCTAAGCTGCTGCTAACTGTATAGGTGGGAATCCATACTGACAGGATGATGAGGTCAGACCTTAAACAAGTAAATCAGCTTAGCACAGGAAAGCAGCTACCATAACACTACCCAGCTGCTAGGCTTATACACTCTCACAGCACTATAGCACAGCTCTCTAATACATAACCTAGCTTCACATGCTCCTAAGGGATCTTAGGCAGCAACTTAAAATGCAGGAAAGCATACACAAATAAAGTGGAAAGACTTTCTTTCCCATGAGGTTTTGCTTGAAGCTTAATAATAAACGGTGCTGCATTTTACAGATGTATTCATGGTGCACTCAGTATGTTCTCCTTATGAAGATTTTTGGTAATGATCGGTAACAAAACTGTGAAAGCATCCTGCAGTTCATGCCTTTCCTTGCATTTATTGCAACATACTTCATTTTACTATGTGAAATTTATGTAATTGGCTTCAGAATGGTATAATGCTTACTTAAAACAGGCAGCATTTAAAATACATTGCACAGTATTTTATGAAGAAAATTCTTATGTTGAGATAGAATTCCATATATAATTATGACTCACTGTGGGTACAAGAAAAGAGAGAATGCTTGCAAAAGCAGATGAGAACCCTTCCATAAATTACTGTATCTGTGAAAAACACAGCACTTCCTGGCTAAGTGCCTGTGTAAACACCCGCTTGCCATCCTGCCCCTCATTCTCACAGACTATGCAAAGGGTAGTTTTATTATTATTAATATTATTATTTTGATAGTATAGTGTGCACCACAACATGTTTTGAACAAATTCACTAGATTACACAGATTCACTGTTAGTCATGCATTAATATGCAGGATGATGTAAACTGTACTGTAAATATGCTATTGTAGGACAATGTAAACTGTACTGTAAATATTATATGATAATGCATATAACATCTGGATATACAAACACATGCAGTCTTAGAGAAAAACAAACAGCTTGCTTGTTCTTTCTTTGTAGCAGTCTAAGTCTATGCCACAATTTAAAGATTATTAAATAATAGCTAGCAATATGAAAACCTCAAAGGGATGAAGTGCAGTTTGTATAAGTACTGAGAATTGGGAATACTGACCTAAGCTTAATACAGAACTCCCCCATTGCCAATGTTTCTCTCTGTTTTTTCAATATACCTACACCATTCTCTCTCAATGCTTCTGTCTTCTTGATGTCCAAACTGCCTCTGTTCAACAGTCCTAAGAGGCTCAAATCTATCTTCCCTTCAATTATGTTACTTTTGCCTTGTGACCCTAAATTTGGGGGGACAGGTAAAGTCAAAAGAGAATTGGGGAGTAAAAAGCAAAATGAATGCAGGATAGGACTGAGGAACCATCAGCCTTTTTATGCTTGCATGTTGTTTATTTATTAGATTTATATCCCACCATACCCAAAAGGCTCAGAGTGTCCATTCCTACTCCCAAGATCCAGATTAAGAGTTGTATTCTATAATGTTTTGGAGGAATGTGAAAAAAATTAAGGAACACTGACTGAGAGGGTTTCAGGAAGGGGAGAAAAGTGAAATAATAGAGGAGG